ACACTCACCTCACGCACTCACACACTCACTACTACACTCACTACTACACTCACTCACTCACTACTACACTCACTCACTACTACACTCACTCACTACTACACTCACTCAAATTAACTAATACACTCACTCAGACTCCCTACTACACTCACTCAAGACTCACCACTCACCTCCACCTCAACTCACTACACTCACCACTCACCTCAACTCACCACACTCACCACTCACCACGCTCACCACTCACCACGCTCACCACACTCACCACGCTCACCACGCTCACCGCCCCGCTGTGTGTGGTCGCAGTTCTTCCACAAGCTGGCAGGCCGCACGCTGCGCCTGTCCTACTCGCTGCTCAAGAGAGACGTCTTCGGTGACATCGCCAGCGCCCACCTCGCCCAGAGAACACGCCAGCCCCTCAACCTCCTCCCCTGAGCACTCACCCACCACTCACCACACTCACCACACTCACCCTCAACTCACCACACTCACACACAACTCACCCTCCACTCACCACACTCACCCACACTCACCCACACTCACACACAACTCACCACACTCACCCTCAACTCACCACACTCACACACAACTCACCCTCCACTCACCACACTCACCCACACTCACCAACCACTCACCACACTCACCCACCACTCACCACTCACCCACCACTCACCACACTCACCACACTCACCCACCACACTCATCTTCACCCATCACACTCACCACACTCACCCACCACTCACCCACAACTCACTCACCCTCAACTCACCACACTCACCCTCAACTCACCACACTCACCCACAACTCACCACACTCACCCACCACTCACCACACCACTCACCACACTCACCCACAGCTCACCACACTCACCCTCAACTCACTCACCACACTCACCCACAACTCACCACACTCACCCACAACTCACCACACTCACCCACCACTCACCACACTCACCCACAGCTCACCACACTCACCCTCACCACACTCACCCTCAACTCACCACACTCACCCACCACTCACCACACTCACCCACAGCTCACCACACTCACCCTCAACTCACTCACCCTCAACTCACCACACTCACTCACAACTCACCACACTCACTCACAGCTCACCACACTCACCCTCAACTCACTCACCCTCAACTCACCACACTCACTCACAACTCACCACACTCACTCACAGCTCACCACACTCACCCTCAACTCACTCACCTGATCCGCACCCAACCCACTCACTCACCTGATCCTCATGCAACTCGATCACCTGATCCACACTCTCAACTCACCTGATCCTCATGCAACTCGATCACCTGATCCTCACCCTACTCACCCTCAACCCCCCTCACTTTCCTCAACTCACCCATCCCCCCACCCCGCCCAACACCAAGCCCATAGACTGACCTACACATAAACGATTGTAGGTTTGCTCTACACACTCGTGTGCTTATTTAGCAGCTAAGACACACTGAGCAATGGAACATCTCTCTGCCCGTCACCCCTGGTGGGTAACCCCTGACCCTTTGTGGCCATTGAATCCTGAAATGTAGCCTTTGACCTTTCGCCCAGACGACGTAGTGCCGAACCCCGACCTTTAAACCTTAACCCTGAACTTTGACATTTGAAGCTTCACCCCACGACTTTGAACCCTCACTCGTGAGCGGTGACCTCGGAGTGATTCGTGAGGGACCTCTCCCTACTGGGGGGGCTTCGTTCGTGTTCGTTGTTGTTTGTGGAGATGAAATAAAGATGAGAAGAGCCGAGTATGCCCTGTGCAGGGGACACGACGGCCTGGAAGACACCGGGAGACACTGTGAGACACGGACTGTGAGACACTCTGTGAGACACCGGGAGACACGGTCTGTGAGACACGGTCTGTGAGACACTGGGAGACACGGTCTGTGAGACACGGACTGTGAGACAGTCTGTGAGACACCAGGAGACACGGAGAGACACGGACTGTGAGACACCAGGAGACACGGACTGTGAGACATGGGGAGAGACAGTCTAGGAGACACCAGGAGACCGTCACAGGCAGATTTACTTGAGACAGTAAATCTGTCTGTGACGGTCCCACCTGATGACGGAGGCTTGTTGCCTCCGAAACGTCGTGATTTATTATTTTATTTCTATTTTTTTTCACCTACGTGACTTTACCGAAAAACCTAAGAGTATGAATCCTTGCAGTCACGAAAGCTTCACATCTAGAATGATTACGCATCGCGATGTTTGCCCAATGGCAGCTCCACACTGGGTTTGGCTGTGGGAGGACATCGCTGAATCTGGGGGAAACCCGTCCCGACCCCTCAGGCGGCAGCATCCAAGAGGCGAAGATCCCCAAAGACAAAGTGTGTGCACTGAACTTCCTTCTCACCGTACGTAGCCAACCGTGTTCATCGCAGGGGAAAGACAACACAGCACACTCACTCACCACTCTCACCCACTCACCACTCTAACCCACCTACCACTCTAACCCACTCACCACACTCACCACACTCACCTGTTCACTCACCACTCTAACCCACTCACCTGTTCACCCACTCAGCCACAAACCCACTCACCTGTTCACCCACTCTAACCCACTCACCTGTTCACTCACCTGTTCACCCATTCACTCACCAAACTCACCTGTTCACCCACTCACCTGTTCACCCACTAACCACACTCACCCATTCACTCACCCACCCACTCACCACCTCTCTTCTCTTGCAATCGATATTTGTTTATTCGCAGCGCGTGGTTTGTGAGGTTTTTTTCTTCCGTCTCGAGATCAAAAAAATTGCACAAAAAAAACTTTGTCGCCAACCCCAACAAGGCCGCCACAACTTGTTTGTTTTACAAAGAGAGACATAGTAAGACGACAATGACAACGGCGAGGATGGTGGTGATGGTGGTGGTGAGGATGATGGGCGGTGAGGATGGTGATGGTGGTAATGAGGACGATGGGCGGTGAGGGTAAAGATGATGGTAACGATGGTGGTGGTGGTGAGGATTATTGTGGTGCCGATTTGGGACGCAGAACTTAACAGTGGCTAGGAGACGTCATCTCCCCCGCCTGGTCTACAGGAGGTCGTGGGTTCCACCCCGACCCTGACGATGCCTTCTGCTGCTACCTAGGTGGAGTCTGAGTGTCTCATATCATCATCACGGTGGCTAGGAGACGTTAACTACCTCGCCTGGTCTACAGGAGGCCGTGGGTTCCACCCCGACCCTGACGATGCCTGCAACTGCTGCTGCTATTTGGAGTTTGCGTCTCTCTCTCCGTGGTGGTCGTCGCGTGGATCTTTGTCCGGGTCCTCCGGTTTTCCCCTCCACATTTAGAATGAACGTCACCACGGCGTTCACGGCGTTCACGGCGGTTTGGCGACTGCTGCAAATGTCCACGCAGTGACGAGAAGCCGCTTCACATGGGCCATCACGTGGCCAGGCCGCTCACGAAGAGCCTTCTAGAAGCTCATCAGCGGGCGAAATTAAAAATAGTTCGTCGTTCACATGTTGGCGATTGATATCGAGCCCGTGGTCCTTGCAAGTCATCTCCCCTCCCTCCCTCTCGCGGGAATGAGCGACTGAGTTGCAAGCCTCACTTATAAATAATTAGTCTTATTCTGCTGATTGTTGATGTAGATTATAATCGCAGAGAGTGGCAGGGAGTGAGAGTGGCAAGGCGTCAATCACGGCGCAGAATTGTGGCGTGGCAAGAACACCCCCCCCCCCCCCCACACACTCTGCTGGGGTTCCACCGCCCCGTGCCGCCCTTAGGTTAACTCGGCCTGAAAACATACAACTCCGAATGGCGGCGATGGCCCATCAGTGAAGGTGTCGGGGCGTTGGGGACGGAGACAAAGGCAGTCTGGTGGCTGGGCGTGGTGCTGGTAGCCACCCACCCCCCTCGCTCTCTCTGTGTGACACAGTGCCACCACGGGCGCAGAGACACACGGGGCGGAGACACGGGGACGGAGACATGGGGGAGACACGGGGGGGACATGGAGACACAGAACCACCAAGACAGACAGAGACACGGGGACGGACAGACGGGGGGACGTGGAGATCCGCTCCATGAGGCCCGCGGGCGAGAGTGGGGGGCCCGCGGGCGAGAGTGGGGGGCCCGCGGGCGAGAGTGGGGGGCCCGCGGGCGAGAGTGGGGGGCCCGCGGGCGAGAGTGGGGGGCCCGCGGGCGAGAGTGGGGGGCCCGCGGGCGAGAGTGGGGGGCCCGCGGGCGAGAGTGGGGGGCCCGCGGGCGAGAGTGGGGGGCCCGCGGGCGAGAGTGGGGGGGCCCGCGGGCGAGAGTGGGGGGGCCCGCGGGCGAGAGTGGGGGGCCCGCGGGCGAGAGTGGGGGGGCCCGCGGGCGAGAGTGGGGGGGCCCGCGGGCGAGAGTGGGGGGCCCGCGGGCGAGAGTGGGGGGCCCGCGGGCGAGAGTGGGGGGCCCGCGGGCGAGAGTGGGGGGCCCGCGGGCGAGAGTGGGGGGCCCGGCCCCCCCCCCCCGGTCCGCACCGGGGTGACGGCTTCGCCCGCGAGGAGGTCAGTTGAAGAGGATCGACTCTGGGTCTTGGTTTGCCATCTGAGCCATGTGGCGCAGCACGTCTTTCTTGGTGATGATGCCCAGCAGCCGCCTACAGTCACAGTCACACACACAGTCACACACACACAGTCACACACACAGTCACACACACACAGTCACACACACAGTCACACACACACAGTCACACACACAGTCACACACACACAGTCACACACACAGTCAGTCACACACAGTCAGTCACACACACACACAGTCACACACACAGTGTGTCACACACACACAGTCACACACACAGTCACACACACACAGTCACACACACAGTCACACACACAGTCACACAGTCACACACACAGTCACACACACACAGTCACACACACACACAGTCACACACACACACAGTCACACACACACTCTGTCACACACACAGTCAGTCACACACAGTCAGTCACACACACGCACAGTCACACACACACGGTCACACACACAGTCACACACACAGTCACACCACTACACCACACACACAGTCACACACACACAGTCACACACACACACAGTCACACACAGTGTCACATACAGTCACACACAGTGTCACATACAGTCACACACACACAGTCACACACAGTCACTCACACAGTCACACACACACAGTCACAGTCAGTCACACAGTCACAGTCACACACAGGCACTCACACAGTCACAGTCACACACACAGTCACACACACACAGTCACACACACACAGTCACACACACACAGTCACACACACACAGTCACAACACACACAGTCACACACAGTCACTCACACAGTCACACACACCAGTCACACAGTCACACACACAGTCACAGTCACACACAGTCACTCACACAGTCACAGTCACACACACAGTCACACACACACAGTCACACACACACAGTCACACACACACACAGTCACACACACACAGTCACACACACACACAGTCACACACACACACAGTCGTCACACACACACAGTCACACACACACAGTCACACACACACAGTCACACACAGTCCACTCACACAGTCACCACACACCACAGTCAACACAGTCACACACACAGTCACAGTCACACACAGTCACTCACACAGTCACAGTCACACACACACAGTCACACACACACAGTCACACACACAGTCACACACACACACAGTCACACACAGTGTCACATACAGTCACACCACAGTGGTCACACACAGTCACACACAGAAAACAGTGCACACACCACAACACACAGTCAACACACACAGTCACACACACAGTCACACAAACACAGTCACACACCAGTCACACACACACAGTCACACCACACCCACACAGTCACACACGACACAGTCACACACACAGTCACCACACCAGTCACACACACACAGTCACACACACACAGTCACACAAGCACACAGTCACACACACACAGTCACACACCACAGCCAGTCACAAACACACGTCAACACACACACAGTCACACACCACACAGTCACGAACACACACAGTCCCCACACACACACAGTCACACACACACAGTCACACAACAGTCACTACACACACAGTCAACCACACAGTCACACACCACACAGTCACACACACACAGTCCAGCCACACAGTCACCAACACACGTCACACCAGCAACACACGTCACACACAGCACAGTCACACACACAGGCAGTCACACACACACAGTCACACACACACAGTCACAACACACACACAGTCACACACACACAGTCCACACACACAGTCCACACACACACAGTCACCAACACACACATTCAGCACACACACAGTCACACACATGGGGAGCAGTCACACACACACAGTCACCACACACACACACAGTCCACACACACAGTCCACACACACATTCACACACACACAGTCACACACACAGTCACACACCACAGTCACACACCAGTCCACACACACAGTCACACACACACAGTCACACACACACAGTCACACACACACGACAGTCACACACACACAGTCACACACACACAGTCACACACACAACAGTCACACACACCAGTCACACACACAGTCACACACACACAGTCACACACACACAGTCACACACACACAGTCCCCACACACAGTCACACACACAGGCACACACACACAGTCACACACACACAGTCACCACACACACAGTCCACACACAGTCAACACACACAGTCCACACACACAGTCACACACACACAGTCACACACACACAGTCACCACACACAGTCACACACACACAGTCACAACACACAGTCACCACACACAGTCCACACACAGTCCACACACAGTCACACACACACAGGTCAACACACACAGTCACACACACACAGTCACACACACACAGTCACACAACACAGTCACACACACACGTCACCACACACAGTCACACACACACAGTCACACACACACAGTCACACACACACAGTCACACACACACAGTCCACACACACAGTCACACACACACACAGTCACACACCACCACAGTCACACACAACAGTCACACACACAGTCACACACCACACAGTCACACACACACAGTCACCACACACGTCAACACATCACACACACAGTCACACACACAACAGTCCACACACACAGTCAACACACAACAGTCTCACACACACACAGTCCACACACACACACACACACAGTCACACACACACAGTCACACACGGCACACACCAGTCACACAACACAGTCCACACACACAGTCACACACACAGTCACACACACACAGTCACCACACAGTCACACACACCAGTCACACACACACAGTCACACACACACAGTCACACACACAGTCACACACACACAGTCACACACACACAGTCACACACACAGTCACACACACAGTCACACACACAGTCACACACACAGCACACCAGTCACACACCACACAGTCACACACACACAGTCACCACCACACAGTCACACACACAGTCACCACACAGTCACACACACAGCAGTCACACACACACAGTCACACACACACAGTCACACACACAGTCCCACAACACACAGTCAACACACACACAGTCACACACCACAGTCACACACACAGTCACCCACACACCACAGTCACAACACACCACAGTCACACACACACAGTCACACACACACAGTCTACACACACACAGTCTACACACACAGTCTACACACACACAGTCTACACACACACAGTCCACACACACAGTCACACACACAGTCACACACACAGTCTACACACACACAGTCTACACACACACAGTCACACACACACAGTCACACACACACAGTCACACACACAGTCACACACACAGTCCACACACAGTCACACACAGTCACACACACACAGTCACACACACACAGTCCACACACACAGTCACACACACAGTCACACACACACAGTCCACACACACACAGTCACACAACACACAGTCACACACACACAGTCACACACACAGTCACACACACAGTCACACACACACAGTCACACACACACAGTCAACACACACACAGTCACACACACACAGTCACACATCAGTCACACACACAGTCACACACACACAGTCACACACACACAGTCACAACACACACAGTCACACACACACAGTCACACACACACAGTCACACACACACAGTCACACACACAGTCACACACACACAGTCACACACACAGTCACACACACACAGTCACACCCACAGTCACACATCACACAGTCACACACACAGTCACACACACAGTCACACACACACAGTCACACACACACAGTCACACACACACAGTCCACACACAGCACACACACAGTCACACACACACACAGTCACACACACACAGTCACACACACACAGTCACACCACACAGTCACACACACACAGTCACACACACAGTCACACACACACAGTCACACACACACAGTCACCACACAGTCACACACACACAGTCACACACACACAGTCACACACACACAGTCACACACACAGTCACACACACACAGTCCACACACACACAGTCACACACACACAGTCACACACACACAGTCCACACACACAGTCACACACACACAGTCACACCACACACAGTCACACACCAGTCCACACCACAGTCACACACACACAGTCACACACACACAGTCACACACACAGTCACACACACAGTCACACACACACAGTCACACACACAGTCACACACACACAGTCACACACACACAGTCACACACACACAGTCACACACACACAGTCACACACACACAGTCACACACACACAGCACACACACAGGCACACACACACAGTCCACACACACAGTCACAACACACACAGTCCACACACAGTCCACACACACAGTCACACCACCACACACAGTCACACACACAGGTCACACACCGACAGTCCACACACACACGTCCACACAACAGTACACACACACAGTCACACACACACAGTCACACACACACAGTCACACACACACAGTCCCACACACACAGGTCACACACACCAGTCACCCACACACAGTCACACACACACAGTCACACACACACAGTCACACACACACACAGTCACACACAACAGTCACACACACACACACAGTCACCACACACAGTCCACACACACAGTCACACACACAGTCACACACACCAGTCACACACACACAGTCACACCACACACACAGTCACCACACACAGTCACACACACAGGTCACACACACAGTCACACACACACAGTCACACACACCACAGTCACCACACACGATCACACACACAGTCACACCACACAGTCACACACACACAGTCACACACACAGTCCACACCACAGTCCACACCAGTCACACACACACAGTCCACACACAGCACAGCACACACACTCAGTCACACCACACAGTCACACACACAGTCCACACACACAGTCCACACACACAGTCACACACACACACAGTCACACAACACACGTCACACACACAGTCACACACACACAGTCACACACACCACAGTCACACACACACAGTCCCACACACACAGTCACACACACAGTCACACACACACACAGTCACACACACCAGTCACACACACACAGTCACACACACACAGTCACACCACATCACACACACACAGGCACACACAGGCCCACCCAGTCACAACACACAGTCACCACACACACACGTCACACAACACAGTCACACACACACAGTCACACACACAGTCACACACACACAGTCCACACACACACAGTCACACACACAACAGTCACACACACAGTCACACACACAGTCACACACACACAGTCACACACACACAGTCACACCACACCACAGTCACACACACACAGTAACACCACAGTACACACACAGTCACACACACACACAGTCACACACACACGCGTCACACACACACAGTCACACACTACACGTCACACACACACAGTCACACACAACAGTCACACACACATTCACACCACACAGTCACCCACACACAGTCACACACACACAGTCACCACACACAGGTCACACGCACACAGTCACACACACACACAGTCACAACACACACAGCACACCCTCACAGTCAAACACACAACAGTCACAGCACCCACAGTCAAACACACAGTCCACACACAGTCACACACACACAGTCCCACACACACACACAGTCACACACACAGTCACACACACAGTCACACACACACATCACACACACACAGTCACACACACACCAGTCACACACACATGTCACCACACACAGTCACAACACACAAAGTCACCACACACAGTCCACACACACAGTCACACACACGTACACACACACACAGTCACAACACACCAAGGCCACACACACACACACAGTCACACACACAGTCACACACACAGTACACACACACAGTCACACACACACAGTCACACACACACAGTCACACACACACAGTCCACACACACAGTCACACAACAGTCACACACAACAGTCACACACACAGTCACACCACACACACAGTCCACACACACTCACACCACAGTCACACACACTCCACACACACACACAGTCCACACACACAGTCACACACACACAGTCACACACACACAGTCACACACACACAGTCACACACACAGTCCACACACACAGTCACACACACACAGTCACACACACACAGTCACACACACACAGTCACACACACACAGTCACACACACACAGTCACACACACACACCCACCCGTTGTGGGTGACGAGGCACTGGCGTATCCCCAGCTTGTGGAAGACGTCCACCACGATCTCCATGGGCGAGCGGTCGCTCACCCACCCGGCCACTCACCCACCCAGTCCACTCACCCACCCGGTCACTCACCCACCCGGTCACTCACCCACCCAGTCACTCACCCACCCGGTCACTCACCCACCCGGTCCCTCACCCACCCGGTCACTCACCCACCCGGTCACTCACCCACCCGGTCACTCACCCACCCGGCCACTCACCCACCCGGTCACTCACCCACCCGGTCACTCACCCACCCAGTCACTCACCCCCCCGGTCACTCACCCACCCGGTCACTCACCCACCCAGTCACTCACCCACCCGGTCACTCACCCACCCGGTCACTCACCCACCCGGCCACTCACCCACTCGGTCACTCACCCACCCGGTCACTCACCCACCCGGTCACTCACCCACCCGGTCACTCACCCACCCGGTCACTCACCCACCCAGTCACTCACCCACCCGGTCACTCACCCACCCGGTCACTCACCCACCCGGTCACTCATCCACACGGTCACCCACCCAGTCACTCACCCACCCAGTCACTCACCCACCCGGTCACTCATCCACACAGTCACTCATCCACACAGTCACCCACCCAGTCACTCACCCACCCAGTCACTCACCCACCCAGTCACTCACCCACCCGGTCACTCATCCACACAGTCACCCACCCAGTCACTCACCCACTCGGTCACTCACCCACCCGGTCACTCATCCACACAGTCACCCACCCAGTCACTCACCCACTCGGTCACTCACCCACTCGGTCACTCATCCACACAGTCACCCACCCAGTCACTCACCCACCCGGTCACTCATCCACACAGTCACCCACCCAGTCACTCACCCACTCGGTCACTCACCCACCCGGTCACTCATCCACACAGTCACCCACCCAGTCACTCACCCACCCGGTCACTCATCCACACAGTCACTCATCCACACAGTCACTCATCCACACAGTCACTCATCCACACAGTCACTCATCCACACAGTCACTCACCCACCCGGTCACTCACCCACCCGGTCACTCACCCACCCGGTCACTCATCCACACAGTCACCCACCCACCCAGTCACTCACCCACTCGGTCACTCACCCACCCGGTCACTCATCCACACAGTCACCCACCCACCCAGTCACTCACCCACTCGGTCACTCACCCACCCGGTCACTCATCCACACAGTCACCCACCCAGTCACTCACCCACCCAGTCACTCACCCACCCGGTCACTCATCCACACAGTCACCCACCCAGTCACTCACCCACTCGGTCACTCACCCACCCGGTCACTCATCCACACAGTCACCCACCCAGTCACTCACCCACCCGGTCACTCATCCACACAGTCACTCATCCACACAGTCACTCATCCACACAGTCACTCATCCACACAGTCACTCATCCACACAGTCACTCATCCACACAGTCACTCACCCACCCGGTCACTCACCCACCCGGTCACTCACCCACCC